GGTTTGGAGGAAGATGATCTTGCCTCAAACATCGTGTTTAATTCTCAAACACGTGCGTGCAAGATCCTTTTTCACCAAGATCGTGAATCTCGCCCTCCTCTTAATAAACGCCTCACGAACTCTCCCAAAAATCACAATTTAGGGTTAGGGTTTTGAGAGGGGAGGTGACTGCTGATAAATTACGTGAAAAGATGAAGGAAAGAGGTTTAAAATGAATATATATACTTATGTATATAACTGCGCCTGAATCAAAATAAAACCGACCCGAACACAAATCCTGCACGAAGAGCTGGGAGCCCGTCGATTGACCCGCCAAAATCGATCGGTTGACCGGTCGGGTATCATCGGTCGACCGATCATCCTAGGCTGGTCAACCGACCAGAACTCATGTTGCCTAACAATCCTGTCTGTGCATGGTTTTGTGCATGATTCGCTCTTGTACTCTTATATACACACTTATATACACATTTATATACACACTTATATGTATTTAATCAATCCCAAACCGATTATCATCATACTTAACGATTAATAAATAATATTTATCACAATATTACTCATTTATTATTATTTATTATTATATATCAAAAACTACGGGGTTTTACATGAGGCCTAAGACTGCAAGAAGAAGGGACCCCAATGAAGAATTAAGGACAACATATAAGGTTTCAAGGAAGAGAATACCTAAGAAGTGTGGGTAATGTGGGTCAACTGACCATACAAGGAGGAAATGTCCAAATCCACCCCCACCTGCTCAAACAACAAACACTAAAAATATACAAGTAAGTTTATCATTTGGAGGATATGTGAATTTATTTTTCCATTATGATATCATATGTGTATAATTTTTACTGTTTGTGCACTTTTCAGACATCACAAGTGGCGACTGAAGGTACAAGTCAAACCAGAAAGAGAGGGAGACCAAAGGGGAGCAAGAATAGGATTGGTCAATCGGTAGAGGAAATGACAAGATAAAATATTCTGACACCAACATCAATGTTATTAGAGAGAAGAGGTAGAGATAGAAGCAATAGTTCACAAGGGGTTTTAGGTGCAATTTATTTCCGATGTTAAATTACATGCACTAGCTATACATTATATGCATAATTATGGTCTACATTTTGTGATTGTTTTCTGAATCCTAGGGGAAACCCAATCACAAGTTTCAACTTTGGGGAGGGGAAGAAGCAGAGGGACAACTATTCACAATACTATGCCTGAAGGATGTGGACTATGACAAGGTGAACATGGTGAGGCAATATACAGAACTACAAGTCACACAGAGGCCACAATTATCCAAGTGTAGGCTGTCTAAAAATCACAATGGATAGTTGATCCCCATCAAGCCCTGACGATGGAAGTTACAATCAGGCGACTTTCTAATTACTGCATCTGCAACTCTGCAACCGCTATAAATACGACCTCATTTCTGAGATGATTGATCTTGATGGCTGCGACAACAGCATGACTAATATTATATTAGCAATTATTAGAGATGCTGATGAGCAGTGTAATGATTTTAGAAATAAAAGGTTGGACTTAGTTGGTGAGTTGCTTGGTAGAGAGCTGTGGGCAAATATTTGTCTAAAAATCACTATGGATGTTTGATTCCCGTCAAGTTCCAACAATGGAAGCTACAATCAAATAGTTTTCGTGCCGACGAGCGAAAGCTGCAAATAGAGGACCTTTCACATAGATCGAGAAGAGTTACAATTCAACGACACTTTCGACAACTGATGAAAACTCTATTCAGCAGTCTCCACAATCTACAGTGAAAGTTACAATCTGATGACTTTCACATTCCACAACAGCTAAAGCTAGGATTACTGAACAATGGTCCTTGCAATGCTCTTAGAAGAGGTTACAGATCAACTAATCCCTTCTAAAACACGGAAGTCACCCCCGCGTTTCCAAGCTATAACAAGCCAAACGTGAGCAACCCCCGCGTTCATTGGTGTTCAGCCAACACCGACCCCCGCGTTTCCAAGCTATAACAAACCAAACGCGAGCGACCCTCGCGTTCATTAGTGTTCAGCCCACACCCAGCTTCGCGTCTCAATTCTAAGAGGCGACGTTGGGTTCTGAACGCCAGATTGGGCGTTTGACTCGTTCGAATTCGAGTCGAACGGTTTCAGAACTGTTTCCCCACGATCTGAGGAAATCACGCCCACTTAGGAGCGGATTTAGAGGGCAGTTACAACCTCTTATCCACCTATAAAAACTCAACAAACTCAACTGAGTGAAGGGGCTGGCTTTTTTGGATACGAGGAGGCAGCAAATTAGATCTGGAGGATCTCAACTGCACAGAGAGGCGGGAGAGAGGTAAAAATCCTTGGAGATAGGATTTTTGAATCAAGTCCAGAAGATCAAAACCGAAGGGATTCTTCAACAACAGAATATCTGCTTGGTCATTAACCGAATTTTCGGTTCTAACAACTCTATTCACAGAGTTCTAACTCGTTCAGAGTTCTTAAACTCATACAAGAGTTACTCATAAAACTTTTCCACAGAAGTTCATTGTTCCCACGAGATAAAAGACGGTCGGATCGTCAACGGAGAGAAAATTCGACGCGAACAATCGAAGGAGGCACTCCATCGCTACCTTGAAGAACCCAGTTTTAAACAAAGGAGAGAACCAAATTCGTTCTCTTCTCTTTTGTAATCGAATTGTAATCGGAATCAAAGAAATACAAGTCAATTTTCTTCCGTTCTCTTCATTGCAATTTTTCCAACATACACCAAGGACCATCAACTCAAGCATCAATCAATTTTCAGCCAAGTTTGAATTAGGTGGATGTAATTTCTCTTTGCTGGTTGATTGGTTGTTGGATATGTTTAGACATTATCTATATTTTGTCTAGTTTAAATGACAGTTTATGTATGCTACATGATGTTTTATGCACAAACAATGTTTATTTATGGTATAATAGTTTTGTATGTTTTTGGTTTTTGGGTTTGCACATGTTTGAAGTTGAGTCCAGTTTTTAGTTTCTGGGTTTGCACAGGTTTGGAAGTTATGTTGTTGTTATTATGAGTTTGCACAGGTTTGAAGTTGTTGATGTATGATCCCACCAGGTTTTGTACCTACAGCAGAGGGGATCATGTTGTTGTGTCAAAGGAACATGCTTTAAAAGCTACATCGCAAACAATGTATCTGCATCAAAATGAAAAAAAAATTACAACATTTCATTTGAAGAGTATATCATACACCGTTACATTGCTATAAACGAGAGCATCTCATACAATTACAACTTCATACTCATACTATTTATAACAAACAACCCTAAGCACATTACAACAACTCCTAAAACCAAAATTATAATCTCATACAATTTGAGCTTGTTCTTTTGAAGTTTGATCAGATCCTCGCATCTTGTTCTTTCCATCTTCGGGTTTGAAATTTCCAATAACTAAGCACCAGCTTCTCTTTGGCACATGCGTAGCTCTTCTTTAGTCTTGACAATATCAGCATGACATTCTTTCATCTCATTCTCACCATGTTCAATTAATTGATTCTTAAGTATATCATTGTTCCTCAGGTTTAAGATTTCTTCTCTCGGTAGAGGGAACAAGTGAGATGCCACATTACACAATTGACTGTCAAACCATTCCCAAACATGACAACCACCATTCTAAAATTTAAAAACATACTATTAGTCATAACAAATCAAACAAAATTTTAAACTTGAACATTCAAAAAAAAATTACCTTATAGTTTCGGCATCTGTAGAACCTCCTCCCGGGGTTTGCATCTGTCATTGATGTATAGTAGTTACATTTCTGCTCCACAAGAACAAATTTTTACCTCGTATCTCTTTGCTGCTTCATTCCATTTCCTAATACAACTCAAATTGTTGAAACCAAAACCATGCTTGTAGTTTACTCTATATCTATTCTGGCTTGAACCTGAACTTGAGCTTCACGAGTCCATGTTGGGGCTGCCACTAATTTGAATTAGATTTCCTAGTTTTTGAAGATCTGAATGAAAGAGGAGGTGGCCGGATCTCAAACCCTAATTTCTATTTCGTCCCAAATTTGTGTGTGAGTGGGGAAGAGGAGATTTTCAACTAACTAGTCACGTCATTAACATCCTGCCATGTTAACATCCATGTCAGCATTAATTTTGCCACGTGAGCCACTCACAGTTGGTTTTTGACCGACAGCGAGAAGAATGTGCCTTATTGACTAAAAGGCCGAGAAAAAAATACCTTGTTGTCGCCGGATTTTTTAAATATACCAAATTGGCAAACATGGTCGAATAAAAATACCAATTTGGTAATTTTGCCTTTTGTTATTTATATGCTATTTTCTGAAGTATTTTCATATATTTTTGTATATATTTTTTTGTACGTACAAAAGAGAGTCAGAATCTAAGGGCTTGTTTGTTTCGCAAAAAATTGCAGAAAGTGGGGGAAAGGAAATGAATTTTTATGTTTTTCTCTACTTTTTGATGTTTGGTTCGTCAAAATTTGGAAAGAAAGTAAGGGAGAAAATGAGTTGTCACCATATTATTGGATGGGATGAGTAATTTTTGATGTTTTCCTCCACTTTCTTTATTTTTTGTTCTTTCTTGTGTTTGGTTCATTCTTAAAACTAAGAAAATAAATAAGAGAAAATGACTTGTCATTATATTATTGGATGATGTGACTCATACTTAGAAAAATCAATTTCCTTGTATTTTTGGAGGAAAGGGATGGAAGAAAATTTTAATGAGATGTGATGAGTTGTCACCATATTATTAGATGATGTGAGTAATTTTTAAAGATGGTAGAAAATGAAGGAAAGTTGGGTGAGGTCACTACCACATAAATGATCTATTGCAACAGTTAAGGCGCAACGGTTTTAACTGTTGCGTTAGAGATCTATCGTAACGGTTTTTAGTGTCTAATACAACATTTAATAGAAAACCGTTGCCATAGACCTAATAATTGTTTTTGGGCTTAATAATTATTAGTGGCCTTTGAGCTGTAGTAAAGCCCATGTTTGACCGCACCGCTTAAACCCCACCACTTAAAGGAAATCTCTCTCTCTCAAATCCCTAAAATCGCCGCCGCCATGGCCAAAAAATTCCGTCGCTGAATTCGTCTCTCTCTCTCTCAAAAATTCCGCCATGGCCTAAAATCGGCGATCTCATCGATCACTGAATTCGCCGCTGTGTTCATCGTGAATCTCATCTCCTATCTCCTCTCTGATATCATCTTCGAGCCCAGTCCTCGCCGGAGATTTCTAGGGTTTCAGCTGGTACTCGGTCAGATTTCTCTTCCACTCCGAACTCTTAGATTCAACCTTCTCGTTTCCCTTTTTGCATCTTATTTATCTGTAAATTTTTGACGATTGAACATATTTTTATTTGAATTTTCATGTTGTGTATACTTTAGATTCAGCTCCGTGCTATTCATATTTTTATTTGAATTTTCATGTTGTGTATACTTTAGATTCAGCTCCGTGCTATTCAATTCTGTAAATAAATCGTCTAGAAGAATGCCAAAAACACTCTCATCCAATTTTCTATTTCCAAGCCAAAATTTAAAATGATTTTGGACTGCTAGGTTGGACACTGACGCCTGAAATCAGGCCAGAATTGGTGGTTTGTCTGCATTGAATAAATTAGGGAAATGCCAAAGGCTGTTGGATATGTTCATTAAATAGAGGCTCGCCTTCAGCGGAAATGGTTGGTAGAGAGAATGATGAATAATGTGGGAGATCGAGACTCTTGCTGATTGTTTCTGGTTGGATTTCTTAATGGTTGTCCTTCGTTAGCCCTAGGTCTAGGTCCATGCTTGTAAGAGCTAGCCTTTGACAAGTGATGTACACGTAAATAGAATATAACTGATGTATACTTAAATATAAATTACGGTATGTTTAGCAGTAAACTCAACAAATATTAATAGTTAGAAAAATTCTGAAAATTAGCAAACATGTGAGCATCAAATGTGAGCTTCCAGAATAATTATTCTCACGTTTGCATAACATAAGGTACTAACGTGTCGGTTTTAAAAATATTAAGATAACGTATGCTGCCAAAAATTAACAAGTGAGTAAGGTAGCCGAGTGCCAATTAGCCATCCCCAAACCCCCACATTAATAGCTCAACTGTAGTCGCCAGTGGAAGGAGTTTTCAAAGAGAGAAAAAAAAGCAAGAATACTTTGTACTTGTGTCAAGATTGGAATTGGATGTGTTGCTTATTTTATTAGGGACATTTGTGATTTTATTAGATTTTGGACCTGAATGTTTGTTTGGAGTTTATGCGGTTAAAATGAACCTGATATGGATCTATCTAGTTAAGTGCTTTTATGATATATTTTGTGTTCTGCATCATACTCACTAGATTTTTTCTGATAAAGTTTTATGTTCTTTTATTTTTTATATATAATTGCTGCTTATATCTTTCATAACCTAATCAACATTTGTTGCTGGAAATAACCCTGACCAGTTGCATGTGATTTTGCTAAGACTAAGATGTATTTGGTTGGATTACTGTTGTGGAACATAGTTAATTTTAGGCCCTTCATTTGGTCTTGAAGCCCATATTTGACTATCGTACTCTTTATAAAAGATCATAGCAAGTATATTGACTTCAAGTCTAAATCTCTCATAACAAACACATGTAGGCTGCTTTAACCATTGTTAGTAGTTAGTTTATTAATTATCTGTGTGAGTTAAGATGTTCTCATTTCCTTATGTTAGTAGTTCCCTTATTTGAGCTTTATCGTAGATCAACGATTGTCAAGATTTATCGGTATCTTGATTTGTTTGATCCGGGAAGGAATTCCTTGAGCCTGAACGCAAGTTGCCGATTGCATCGAAATCTTTTGGCCAATTTGGCATCCATCTCTAAACTTTAGAAGAACTTAAGACTAGGTATCTTAGGCTTTCTCTGTGAAACATCTGATTGTAGGATATATAGAAGGTGTAATTACGAGAATGTAAGTATCCAATAGTTTTGGAGTTGATTTCCTGCGGCATTTCCTGCATTTTTAAATATCAGATCATGAAGTAAGCTTGTCATCCTCTTCAAAGGAACAGGAGATGATGAATCATCCAAGTTTGTTCCTTCTTAAAACTTTCAAAATTCTGCAAGTTGACAGAAATGGTTCATTATCCTTTTGGCTTATCTTGTGATGCTTTTTCTGTGACATAAACAGACAATTTGAGGTTTTGACATCGAATTCATACTCATCATCTCTATTTTAAATATGGTCAGATTGGTGAATAGATTGTTCCTTTTCTTCTCATTTTATAAGACTCTTATTATTCTCTGCTTAGCTATGCAGCTGTAAAAAAATATATGATGCCTTGTGTTGTGGCTCTATCTATGTACTCTCTGAATACTTCAAGGGCTCTACTTTCTGTGTGTGATTAATCTCTTCACATGCACTATTCCTTGTTGGTTGTCCTGCTTCATGGATTGTTACTTGATTTTCTATTTAAAAATAACACTGCAGATCTGAAAAAGAATGCAGATGCGCGCATACGTCCTTATGTTTGTAATGCAAAAACTAAGTACGTTGAGCAGTTCACATGCCTGGTAATAATGTCTTTTTTTTCCATGTGGTTTAGGAGCTTGTTACTCTTAAATTCCTGCTTACAAGGTTGAGGTTTATTCATTAGTGGATCATGTATTTTGCGTCGAGTTCTGGTTCCGACTATATGATCACAGTTATATATTTTCATAAACCTGGGATTGGAAGTTCTGGTTAGTGGGTGCGTTCATTCAAGATCTGAGTGTTTATTTCTTTATGCTGAATTATCTATGCTGATTTGCCAGTGTAATAACCGGCCATTGTGACCGCTGCGGACGTGCGCATGTATTATGAACCGTGACTTTGTATAGGCATGTGTACATTGTGTAGGTTGATTGTTCTGGGCTTAAATCTTTTAGAGGTCGAGGGCTGGATGCATGTTAGAAAAGTTGTACTGTGAGCCTTCTTAGTGATTCATTGTGCCTCTCCTTTTTGGCATTGAGCACCTTGTTATTGCATGATTCCTAGGCTGTTTGCAATAAACTTTATAACAAACTTGATTTCATCGATGAAAATTCTTGGAATGTAGGTGTTCTCATTGTGCTTGGGTTGGGAACTGCGTTTCGGCTTGCATTGGAGTGCTGCCAAGACTGGGGATCTCGAAGACACGTGCACGGCATAAATATACTTGTATGTATAATAATACACTTCATTATACAAAGAATGCCAGTTTCAGTTTTTGTGGGTTTTAGCTTGATCATTCTTTTCATTTATTACTAGTTAATCACTTCTCTTTGAGTGATGGAAACAGTTGGTGATTCTAGATCAAGTTCAAAAGAGAAGAGATCATTTGAGGTAAATTCTTTTAAAAATCCTATATTAGTTCATCATGGACATAAAACAGCTCTTCATATTATTCATTTCTTGGTAACATGCTAGCTTGCATAATAACTTCTGAAGCATTCTTTGCTTTAAAAAAATTAGGACATAAAACAGCTTTTTATAAAACAGCTCTTGCATAATAACTTCTGAAGCCTACCATATTGTTTTCTATCTACATCTGAGACTTGCTACCCTCAGTTTTTCATCACAGCTTCGTATCTTTAATCTTCTAGGAATCTAGTATTCAATACATTTTGAATAGGGCAGCTTGACGTCATGAAAATTTGATCAAAATAGAACTACTTATCTTGTTGATGCCATCTTGTTTATTTGGATAACTGATTTTCCATGTAGTTGTATATGGTGTGCTATTCTCATATAGTCTTGTGTCTGATGCAGCTGAGCAGAGACTTTTAAACTGTGAAGCCAAACAGCTAAATTAAAAGACATAAGTGATAAAAAGAATCTGACATCTGCAGGCACTGTGTATCTTCACGAGTTGTAATGTTGTAGTAGATTATTTATATAACAAACTGGAGAAGATTAAGCGTATAATCAGAATGTTAAAGAATGTTAAAGAATGTTAACAAAATATTTGATTGCATAACATGTATGTAGATATGATGTTTAACCATAATGATATTTTATTTTTGTTGATATTTTTTTGTCAAATCTTTTGCAGAAAATGGTTATTTGTAGTTCAAAAAATGTTAATGAAAGTCCCATACTTCAATGCAGGAATTGTCATTTGAATGAAAAGCAAAAGGGCTTGTTTGATGGAGACCCTTAGCAATCTGTAGCCACCTATTTTACTCAAATGGAAGGTTTTGATGCAGGTGGGTTATTTCCTTTATGTTAAGCTATTTATTTTGAATAATTGCAATATCTTTTTTCCCCAATTTTATTATTTCATGCTATTTCATGCTATTGCATTAGCTTTGTACTTGTAAACTCATAAATTTTATTAGGGGAATTGTTAATACAAACTACTATAATAGAAATTTGTCCAGAATATGTGGGTAACTGAAAGTTTGAAATACAAATATTAAGTAGAGATTGTAATATGTTCTCTTAAATCTGTAAGGAAATTGAGCTTGGATAAATCTGTAAGGAAAGACACGCTAGCATTTATTCCATCACTACATATTTTGCTTGGATAAATCTGTAAGGATAGATTTCAGTACTCTTGCAGGAGGAATCGGTATGCTTTATGTCTTGAGAATTTTTTGCTCCTTTCATCACGCTTCTGGTACTCATGGATCAATATGTTCTCTTAACTTCCTTTTCAAACATCTTTTTTCCCCAATTTTATTATCATCATTGCAAAAATTATGCTGATTCATGGAAATTTACACAGGTACAGAAATGATGAAAGCCAAGATTGAGATTGATACTGACAGGTTCCTAGTGAGTATTTGACATTGAGGAACAAGTTTTTAGAAACAAATAGAGAATATAGTCTTTGACCGAGAAGTTTCATGTTTTGTAATCAAATGTTGATGTACATTGTTTGAAAGTTAGTTCGGTACGATATTTTCTGAGTTGAAATGTTGGTAGTGTGGATTTAATACTTTGTAGTTTTTATACTATACTGATGTATGTTGGCACTTATCATTATGGTTGATTATGCTCAACATAATCACTTTTATATTGTGTATTAAAATTTGACTTGGCCATGTTCTTAAAAAGATTGTCCAGGTAATTGAATACTATAATTATTTTGACGTAGGAAACCAAGAACAGCTTCGATTGAGCAGTTGCAATAGCTCGATTAAAACCGTTGCGATAGCTCGATCAAAACCGCTGCGATAGCTCGATCCAAACTGTTGCGATAGCTCAATCCAAACTGTTGCGTTAGGTCTTTTAAAACTGTTGCAATAGCTCCAACTGTCGCCGTAGCTCTATCAAAACCATAGCTATAGCCTACTAAAACCGTTGAGTTAAATCTTTTAAAACTGTTGCAATAGCTCCAATTGTCGCCGTACCTTTATCAAAACCATACTTATAGCCTACTAAAACCGTTGCGTTAGGTCTTTTAAAACTGTTGCAATAGCTCCAACTGTTGCCGTAGCTCTATCAAAACCATAGCTTTAGCCTACTAAAACCGTTACGGCAGCATATGAGGCGGTTTGAGAACCGTCGCACTTGCTCAAGGGCGACGGTTCCATGGCTAGCGCAACGGTTTTGAACCGTTGCGTTAGAGCAAATATGTGGTAGTGGGTGAGTTAGATGAGTTGATTGATGTGACTCATTTCTTGTGTTTAGTTTATTTTTAAAAGTAAGAAATGAGATGTGATGGGATGAGTTGTCACAATATTATTGGGGGAAAGTGGAGAAAGTGAAGGAAAGTGGGTTAAAGAAAGTGGGGGAAAGTGAAAAAGTGAAGGAAAATAGGTTTTGGATTCTGGGGGAAACGAAACAAACAGGCCCTAAGCAGAAACGATGATTGTGTTGTAGTACAAACCAGATGTCCTTTCTTCACACACACACAAAAGAAAGGAAAAGAAGGATAAATGACATGTTAACATTATTAAGCAAGACAAGCTATAGTAATCCTCTAAATCTTCTTTATGGATCCTACAACAAGAAAGCAAAACCTTCAGCATTTGGTGTCTTTAATTAGAATTATTTCACATTGAACACGACCTATGCATGCCAAATGATCGATGGATGAATATGTTTATTATGTTAAAATTTTCGACGCATCACGATCCAGTTGAGAAGTTAAAGCTCAGGCAAATATGGAGCACACCATATACATGGTCAGTGAAAAAAATCTCCGAGACATAATTAACCAATTGAGTCCTTACCTATTAGCTCCACGTATGTAGTCAGTTATGTGCTGTAAAAATAAAAATAATGACAATCTTCCATTAAAACTGAACCTAAGCAAGCTAATATATAAACGTAAGCAACAATCTAACACCTATTACATTTTCAAATGCATACATCTACATGACAGGTAAAGGATATTAATTGATCAACATTCTGTCCGCTTAATTAATTAATAGGCATATCCAATTAAGAAGCATTTATGTATCATAAAAAAGTAGTAATGCACTTTAGAACCTATTATCCATGTACTTTGATTTTGACGGATAGACCCTCTAAGTGATTTTTTATTACTTTTTTTTTACTCTGCATGAAAGTTCGACGCAAGTTAATCCCGGTTGAAACCAGTGGCGGAGCCACCTTGAGCTTGCCCTGGGCAGTTGCCCAGGGCAGGAAAATGAAAAACGCATATGTAGGTACGAAAGAAAGGTTGGTCTCCCGATGTCATAGCTGTGGCCTCGAGAGCTTCGCCAATCGTGATCTTACTGACTATGGCTGCTCCAGGTGATGCAGTTGATATAGGTGTTTAGCTATTCATCTAACTCTGCAGTTGTCTCCTCTACTTCCTTTAGCTCTACATAATCCCTTTATTTTTCGCTCAGGGCAAAAAATATTTCGGGCTACGCAACTGGTTGAAACTAGTGAGTCAATACAAGGACAAAAAGAGTCAAGAAGATAATCTTATTTTCACATTACAAATGCTCGTCACACATCAAAACCCCACAGCATTTGTTGCACACTGTTGAGATTCTAAGGCATCCATGCGCATGAAAGACATTGATCAATATAATAATATTAGTAGGTGAGCAGTCCACATTATATATAGGAGGAGCCCCCACACTTTTTTTTCGCCCTAGCTCTTTTTTTAAGTGTTGATTCCTATCAAATCCATTGCCTTTTCAGCAACAACACGGAGTTTTGAGCTTGCATGGCCTCCTTTTGCCTTCTGTTTCCCACCAAACACTTGTTTGTTGGCTTAAGGTGCAAATGTGAGACGCACACACAAGTCCGGGCATTAAAGAGGACTAGCTTTAGTCCCACTCTGAAGGAACCTCAATTTGTTCCATGTGAAGAGCACTCACCCACACCTCCAAAATTTGTCACTGAAACTTTATTTCAGATGGTAATGTGATGTAGAACACACGGAAAACATGTTTATGTCAAAGTGGGACAGTCACAAGCTCAAATGCCGGCCCGGTCGACGAAAACAACTTGCTACGAAGAAACAACCATAACTTTCAAACCGTATGTCGGAGTTGGACGAATTATATATGAAAATCGACTATCTTGGCGAGACGGAGCCGACCAAACCGACCCAAAAGGGATTGGCTTGCTTCCTCCGTTTCGCCTAATTCCTTACGATTTGAGATATATCTGTATTTTTGTCCGATTTTTACTATTTTTAATAATGTTTTAGGAGTCTGTATTGATTAGGAAACAAATCCGATTTGATCTTAGATTTGACCGGTGGACTTTCTTGGTCATAATGAGTCTTTTTAGGAGTTTTAATGTTTTAGGAATTCTTTTACTATTTTTGGTAAAGTTTGAGTCCTTGTAGAAGTCTTGTTTCCTTTTCTATTTAAGTAGAGTCTTGTAAGCCCTAGAGCTATAGCTTTTAATTAATAAAAATTTTGTTTTCTTCAATATTTACTTCGTGGATTCAAAGCTCTTCGTGGATTCAAAGATTGTCCTTGGTGGATTCTGAGGCTACTACTTCCTCACTGCGTCATAATGACATGCTTTGTGCATGATTACCATGATAAAAGGAGGAGATTTGCCTTGCATATCCTAAAATAAGTGAAGTAGCTAGAGATTTTTCTTTTTTACATCTTTGATGATACTTGTAATATTGCTAATAGGAAATTAATGAATGCATCTTGACAATCTTAAACTTTGTCGTACATTCATATATATCGTATCTTAAGTACAACATGCAATCGGAGTTTAACCAACGAGGAGTTTAACCAACGAGGAGGTTAACAGAGTAAAAGTTTGTGTGTTAAAAGTATGGAAGATATCAAGCTTGATCTTTCAGGGAAGTGCATGCATGTTGATTTGATAAACTTTGCACAAAATGGGAAATATGAAGTGGATGTATGATTCATGCTTGCATGAGATTTGGGGGCGGGGGGAGGGGGGTCAAAATGGTCACACGTACATCTCAATAGCTAGAATGTTCTCTCAGTATCACTTGAAGATCACTCAACCAAAGTTCAGTTACAAAGTGCAGCAAAAAAGTCCGTGAGTCCATATTACACACAAAAAATGAAATAAATTAAATTAAAAGGAGAGAGAAGATGCAAACACACTTTCAGTAGAAGACAAGAAGCACAGTTCAAGTGGTTCGGAATATCAAAATTGATATCTTAACCATTTACATGAACAATCCTATTTTAGCTGAAAATAGAGATTGAATTTTATCTTTGTAAAAGTTAGATAGAATTGTTGTTAGAAGTTTTTTGTTTGTTTTCTCTCTGAAGAGATCTTGATGTTCAAAACTTTTTCAATTTGATAAATGAATAAAATTACTTCATTGACCAAAAAAGAAGATGCAAACACCATGTGCAAAGGACTTGTTGCTTGCCCCCCTCTTTTCTCACGCGTAATGATTGCTTGCCCACAAACCTTGACAAAGTTTAATCACCATTAACACTATAGCTAATCTCTTTTCTACAATTAACCCTAAATTATAGTGTTGCTAGATTGAGAACCATTACATTGGAAATCCAATATGGAAATTATAGGTGGGATGCCAAAAGAGACTTATCCTAATTATTTATTAAGCCAAGCAAATACTATTATAATTTGGATTCAGAATTATTAAAGATCATGAGCAAACTTTGATCCACTTGGATTCTAGAATTTTGGGTCAAATCTTGATTTGATTAGAGTTAGTAATCCACATCAACTTACTAACATACACCCACTCTTGTAAAATTTTTAAAAAGTTACAATGTTTTAAAAAAAACAAATAAAATCTATGCACTATGGTCTACAGCAGTAGAACCAGAAATTTTATCTTTGAGGCATTTCCATCCCTAAAACTCACCCACAACATCCAATAAAATATTATTTTCATCCAACAACTTATCCACATCATCTAATAAAATATTATTTTCATCTAACCACTCATCCACCACATCTAATAAAATATTATTTTCATCTAACAACTCATCCATCACATCTAATAAAATATTATTTTTATCCAAACATCACTCAACTCATCTCTTTTTATTATTTCAAATCACTCACATCATCGAATAAAATATTATAACAATTCACCTCATCTCATTAACATTTTATTTCTTCCATTTCATCCCAAAAAGTTGTGAAAACACATTTCTTAATCTTTCTTCACATCAACCAATAATACAATGACAACTCATCTCATCTCATTTCATTTCTTATTTTTAAGAATGAACCGAACAAAAGAAAACAAGAAAACTACAGGAAATAGGTTTCTTATAATTCATTTCCTTATTTTTTTCGCCAACCGAACAACATCAAAACTAGTTTTCTTAAAAAATCACTCACATCATCCAATAATAATGTGACAACTCATCTCATCTCATCTCCATTTCTTTGATTTCCTTTTTTTTAACCAACCGAACACTCCAAAACAATTCTTCATTTTCCATTTCTTTGATTTCCCATTTTTTTAAGGCAAACGAATAGGCCCTAAATATATATAGCCTTTCAAATCATTGAAATGATATTAGGTCGATCCCTAGTATTTTTCATAATTAATTTGGTCCAACCCATGAGAGCTTGGGAACCTAATTCCAATCTCAATGACTTTGGGAGGGCTAATTATTAAATAACTTAAGAATATC